GAGTGGCTTAGCGAAGTTTTTGCCGTTTGTCTGTAGACGTTTCATCGAAAGCTTGTGGCTTCTCTTCCACCGAGAATGGATTAATGGATCACGGCGGGAAACGGCCAAGCGCTGAAAGTGGTTAAAAATTCAAGCATTCCATTCGCGAGTAGATTGTTCCAGCGATTTTAACGAAAACCGACGGTTAGCGGTGAATTTTTGATGTGGTCTCGCCTTTGTGCCGGTGACTGGTAAGGGGCCACGCATACGAAAATAACGGTGTAAAATAATTTTCGCAGATGAGGATTCGCGGGATTGCGCAACTATCCAAAAGATTTTCACGTTGTTCTGCCACTTCTGTCCCAGTGCACTGAAAAAAGCTGAAAATCCATTGATTTGACACTTTCAAATGAAATAACGTTATTTTTGTTTAGTATCGCTCAGTTCCTGTAGAATCGAGTTGATGTTCACTTTATCATCTTAGATTACCCGTGTTTGCAAATTTCTTTCGCTGCGTACGAAGTGTCAGCGACCTGAATTTTATATCATTGTTATTATTATTACATGCCAAAGAAGAAGAATCCAGATGTGCATTCGATGTTGAAAAAAATTCATAATAGAAGTGTGAAACTCCGTTGTTCGCTTGCTTGAGAGAAGTTGCTTCGAACATTTTCACAAACGTAAAATCGAACAATTAGAATACCTGCAACAATTTTCTTTCGACTTTCGGTAGTCATTTTAAAGAAATTCACAGTTCAGCTCTCCGTTCTGAGACCTCTGGAATTTGGAATATCGAAAACAAAGTCACCAAAAGAGAGAAAGAGAGAGAAAAAAAAATTTCTTCGCAATTTGATTAATCTACTGTTGAAACCTACTGTTACTGAAATTTATTATTAACTTTTTTTTTTTTATTTAATTTTTATTTTTTTATTTTTTTTTTTATTTGATATATAACTTTGTATGTTTACTTTGCGTTACAAACGAGAGGAGGCGCGTGAAGATTTTCATCGCGAAAGGTTCGAAAAACATCAGTCACTTTTTTCGTCGAGGACGTTTCGAGCGAAACGCTGAAGCCATTTGCAATAAACAGTAATTGATCGCGTCTCGAGCAACAGCGCGCGGGCAATCAAACATCGTGGGCCATTTCTTATCAAACTGCCAGTAAGAAATAAGCTCGGATTTCCCCTGTTTATTGGCTGAAGCGAGCGGAAATAAAATCGGCAAGAGGAACAGGAGAAACTGAAGGATTCCCGAGGACATCCATTTATCCGTCTTTATGAAACGCGAGGATGAAAGAAGAACGAACGAGAGAGAATCAAACAGCCCGGCACGAAAACTACCCCGTGTCTTTCCTCGCTGCCTCTCGTTTCTTTTCAGTTTCTCCTACTTTTAAAGGCCGCTTTTGTCCCAACGAAATCACTGCACCCGGTACATCGCGCCGCCGAAACAACTGAAACGACAGGTTAATTGAAAGTTTGTTTCGAATTCCGAACATCTTCGGGCGCCACATCTCACAAAAAGCATTTATCAGCGTTTAACTTTTAACATTTTGAAGCATATCTGTATACGGACAGAGAACTTTAGGTGACACCCTGTTTTATAACAATGAAATCTTTCGATGATGAGAAAAAGTCAAGATTCTGTCTTGTACGTAATTTGTGTTTGAATGTATATAGCATATTCGTAAACAGATGTTCAAGGAAATTTGTTAACATTTACTTGGGAAAATCTACCGGAAATATGGTCTTTTTAAATATTTTATAATTTAAACAAAAGGGTTTTCCTGCAAAATGGTACAACACTTCATCAATTTCAAACGGTATTTTGAATAATATTTAACAAAATATGTTTCGCATCCCTCTTCAACCGATAAAAAGAAATACGGGTCGAATATTTCTTTGAAAACTACGTTCATGTCAAATTTCATCGAAATCAGCGATTCAGGGTTCGGTATGTTACCTTATCAGGAGAGCTATCGAAAGCTTCAAGCTATATATATTCGAGGAAATTCCCTACGAAGAGCGTAACTGTACGAAAAATTGTCGACGATTATACATAAAAATAAATTCGTAAAAATCACTGCGTAAATGACAATTTAACTTCGTAAAAAGACGATCGGATTATGGCTGTCCGCTTGTGACCAAAACGTCTTCCACCCACTTCCCTTTTTCAATCGATGAAACAACTTAGTTAACGTCGAAATGAATTACATCACTGCGTCTAAATTGTAATTTCCGTCGACTGGCGAGTTCCCCTTTTATAGTGAAATATTTGCACAGTGCAGATTGTTTTCAACAAGGAGGAGTGATTTATGCTCTTCGTTTACGTCTTTCGATGTACTCAGTATCCGACATTACCGAATGTCAAGAGAAATGAAGAAAGGGAATATTAGGAAAACCATTAAATTTACCGTCGCTCGTACATTCGAGAGTCGAGAGATTGTTTCTGCACAAAGGAGAAGTATTATAAATTATTGAAATACAAATGTATTATTTTCATTTCAGAAAATGAATGAAATGAAAATGTCGCTCGTACATTCGAGAGTCGAGAGATTGTTTCTGCGCAAAGGAAAATTACTATAAATTATTGAAATGCAAAAAATATTATTTATTCCAGCGTGTAGATCGTGAATATAATTATCAATATATATAAATTTGGAAATATCGTCCGAGGATCCGAGGGGGTGAAATCCGCCACTTTGCACTCGACGAAAGCTATGGCTGACCAATAACGAGGTTATGCGAGAAGCTACCAGTCTCACCCGGGGAATCTTATGGGATCGAGGGAGGGAAATTACGATTCTGCAAATGAAATTGAAAACGGGCGAGTGGGGTGGAGGGGAAGGTCGAAATTGTTCGCTGGCTTGAAATACGAGTTATCTGGCGAGCCGCGGTTGAACACGAACAGATACCCGCGATCTTCCACATTTCAATTCTTTACACTGTTTATTTTAGAAGCGTCGCCGACAGCCCCACGATGACAGCGTGTCGCCGTTCCAACGGAAATTATCAGCCCGACAGCTCGACCGTGGTTTCGCCAGTGAATTTCAGATACCGCGAGCTCCGCCAAATAACTACGGAAGAATTAATTTGAATTATCAAGCGTATCGAGTCTAACTAGGCGACAGGTGAATAAAAGATTTCTTTCTTTCTTCCTTTGCTTTTCTTAAGGGACGAAAAACGGGGACACGCTTCGTTAAGTCGACAAAGTCGTTCGCCTGCAACAGTCGAGGATTCTCCGTACTAATTGCAAGAAAGTCAGCTTCAACTTTCAACAGCAAGATGTTGTGTGCTGTGCTTCACAAAAGAAATTGGAACGATTAACCTTCCATAAAGATAAGGAGAAGGTCACTAATTAAAAGGCAAGATCATTCATTAACTGTGTAAAAGCAATTTATTCGTACAAGAATCGTTCAACTATCCGGCCGTTCCCTGACAGTCTACTAAAAAATCATACGGAAGTTACGAAGAGAAGTTTCGAGAGACGGAGGATTTAAAGTTTTCGTCTTCGAAAAAAAAAAAAACTCACAGCTGTCAAAGTCACAAGGTTTACGCTTTAGAGATCGTTTCACCAAGTTGCATCGGTCTAAAT